CATTAGAAGAGTTCTAATCTGATGGATGAGAAAGTGCACTCTCCATTATGTAACAATTGGTATAGATATACTCTTATGACCCCATCTGTCTGATGTAGATGTGGGAGGGATTTTAGCCCACTTGTTGGAAGTAGATGTGGGAGGTTAAATAATATTACAAGTTCTATTTTGGCCCCATCTATCTAGTGTATAGTTATGTATTTGTTCATAGATTTAGGATTGCTTTAGTTTTAGGTTTCTTGTTTTGGCATGTGTGGCCAATAGTGTGTTGCTTTTGTGTACCTCTTAGGTGCCTATTAATAGGCTTTAGCTTGTATTAGGAATGAAGCCAAGGAAATAAAGAATTTTGCATTGTTTTGGCTCACTCCGCCTCCCTCTCCTCTCTCTCTCCTCCTCCTCTTGCAATATCCATGAGGAAGCGCTTCTTCCTCAAGTGAAGGGATCTCACATCTGGTATCAGAGCCACGGTGGTGGTGATCTCGAGGTGGAGGAGAGAAGGTTTCTTGTCTAAAGGAACGAAGGAGGCGGTCGGCGGCCAAGCTCGGACGTGCGTTTGAGAGAGCCGAACCTGTGCGGCTCGGAGGCGGACGGGCAAGAATCGAACGCCGGAGTCGGGGTGTGATCCGGAGCTGCTGGCCGGAGGAGAAGTTTTGGCTCGAGTCAGATCTACTCGGCGAAGGGAGCTTGACGCATTGGGGACTTGTTCGCGTTCGACGGCTTGCGGGATCAGAAGACCGACGAAGGCCGGAGTGGCGTCGAGCCTTGCTCGCAGGTGAGCAGGCGAAGCAGCCGCACGGTGGCCGCGTGTGCTTCTGGCGGAGACTTGCTTGATCGCCTGGGTGAAGGCGGAATCGGGCACAGTGTCCGATCGGGATACAAGAAGGCGATATTCTCACGTTGGCTGTTCAGTGGGCAATAAATTGTTGCTTCTAGATTCAAGAGGGATCTGACATTTGCTATCATTTATTGAGAAGCTCGAACAATTCATACAGCAAGAAGCTGCAGAGATGATGCCATGGTGACATCGTCATCTAGTAAGTTGAGAAGACAGACGATGCAAGAAGTAATAAAGAAGAGATTAGATGTTATTTGGAGGCGGAGTTTTGGACTTTAGGTGGAGTCCGGGAGACACTAAGGTAGTGTCGGTTGTTCTTGGAGAGCAGGGTTGAGAGTGCAGGGCGCTTGGAGATGTGTGGTCGTGCGGTGCACGAAGAGTCCGTATAGGAGCGCGGGGCACTGGTGAAAGACACGCAGGGTGATGCGGCAGTGCGGAGCATGGTCTTGTGACGAGCGGAGCACTGGTGAGGGCGCATGGCTCGCTGTACGGGTAGATACGTGCAGGATGTGGTCGGAGAGAGACCACATGGGTGCAAGGCGCGGGCGAGGGCTTATGGCGTTTGGACGCGGGCTGGAGGTGCAGGGCGCGGGCACTGAGGCGCAGGGTGCTGGTGGATGCACAGGACGCGGAAGGCGGGCTAAGGGTGCTCGGGGATTGGCTGCGTTGGATGCAGTGCGACTGGAGATCTGTCAGGAGGTGGAGCTAAAATGTCGGTGGACGCTTTTGGCGGAGGAGATCGACAAGATCATTATTTGGCTGTTCTTTAAAGAACAGTGGTTATCCTTTGGTTTTTTGTAAATCTAGGCTCAAGGTGGAGATTGTTATGTATTTGTTCCTAGATTTAGGATTGCTTTAGTTTTAGGTTTCTTGTCTTGGCATGTGTTGCCAATAGTGTGTTGCTTTTGTGTAGCTCTTAGGTGCATATTAATAGGCTTTAGCTTGTATTAGGAATGAAGCCAAGGAAATAAAGAATTTTGCATTGTTTTGGCTCACGTCTCCTCCCTCTCCTCTCTCCCTCCTCCTCTTTCAAGATCCATGAGGAAGTGCTTCTTCCTCAAGTGAAGAGATCTCACAGTATATATGTGAGGAATTCTAACCCCACTTGTTGGGTGTAAGTGTGGGAGGTATAAGGGGAATTAGAGATATAAGCAGACATCATGTCACACCCTAAAATCTAATTTGAAAGAATTATTTCTTTTATCTTTTTTATTAATAATTAGAACTATCTAATTTCTTTCAAAAAATAAAAGATCAGTTGAAGCATAATTCATTGATCAAAATATCAATATATATCTTTAACCACTATCAAAAAATTATGTATAATAACCAAGAGTCTTATAATTACAATATATTGTCCACTCACTTATGACTATTGAAGAATATCTTAAAGAAAAAAAAAAAACATTAGAACCTGATGAATCCTATAATAGATAAGTCTCACACTCATGATCCTCTTTCATGACATAAAATTATTTAAATTATATATAATGAGCTAAAAAATTCAATATGTCACTACCATCATACAATTAAACTCAAAGCACGATAAAGAAATAATATGTATAAAATTACTTAATTCGTAATAGTAATAATACATATGAACATAAATCTGTGCAGAAATAGTAAAACATATACTATATGATAAACTATGTGAACCGGTAAATCAATATGGTACGGAGGCTAGCAAAATATTGTAGTACAAAAATAGTAAAATATATAAACCAGTAATGTCACGCCCTCGGATCTAAAGTGAGAGAATTTTTATTTGAATTCAAATAGGAGATTTTTTCTTAATTAATTCCCTCCTAATTCCCCTCATATCCTAATAAATTATTGCTTTGCTGGGCCCCACAAGGGGGCCGAAATCTTCCTGGATTTTGTTCCAGGTTCTGCCCCCTCCACTGCCTGCTGGGCCGGCCTGTCCAATCTCCCTTTGCCTATAGATGTAACATCAATCTCTTAAACTTTGACACCCTGTGTGTGAACGTCGATATGTCTATAAAAGATTATGTTAAAATGATTATGAATTCAATTGTGAGTATGAATGATTTAAGAAATTCTACAAACAAGTGTGTAAAATCCTTAGTTTCAGACATGGATAAAATGCAAAAAGTAACTAATTGCTCTAAAGTTGTTTAGGGAAATACCCTAATGTAGCAAAATTCAAAATTTCTGCAAAATTCTGTCCTATGATAAGTTACTTGGAATTTATGTCTTTAATTTTTAGAAAAATATATTTATTAATGTTTATGCTTCATAATAACTTATTTTGTTTAATTTTTTTTCACTCATTTGTAACGATTGCACAATTATTATGTCACAAATGTTCTATTTAAATAAAATTAATATTTATTGTGTCATCTAGTTGAACCCTTGTCCAACCTTCAGACTTTGAACCTCTCATCCATATGGTTCGTTGTACAGTCCGATTTTCACAACCTTATCTTCGACCTCCGCCACACAATCCCATCGACCTCTATTGCTCGACTAAGATCTCTCCGACCTCTAGGGCCCGACTACGGTATCTCCGACCTCTATTACCTGACTATCACCCCTTCGACCATTGTCCCTTGACAATATTCCCTTCGACCTCCTTCACATGGCTACAGTCCCTTTGACCTCCATCTACTGTCGACCAAGGTCCTCAGACCACTGTCGCCCAACAACAATCTCTTCAATCTTAATTGCTCAACTATGATATTTCCGACCTTTATCGCCATTTGATTATGATCCTTCAAACCACTGGTTCCCCCCGACTGTGGTCCTTTTGACCATAATTGCCTGATAACAATCCCTTCAATCTCAATCGCTCTACTGCGGTTCCTTCGACCTCTGTACCCCGTTCACTATTATACATACGACCTCCGTTGCCTGAAAAATGACTATATGACATTAGTCGTCTGACTACAGCCGCTCCGACCTTCGTCGTCTAACTATGATCCACTAGACCAAACAAATAGATAAATATTCTCTTAAGAACAACTCTCAAATCATTGGGTTCTTCTTACTCCAACCATTTAATATGCTTTACATGATATATATTAGACATTGCGCCAACAACTTCTCCCAAGGAATGACATCCTTTGTAATCATTGACAAACACTAGTATAATCATTTTAACTGGACTTTATTTCGTGGTTTTTCCTTTTTCAAGATTTTCATGTACAAATTCTGATGTCTCTTATAATTATGATACCTCTCTATCTCATCTATGTATGTGCTGAATTTTCGTACAAACTTAAGACAATAAATTTTATATCTCTCTATCATTGTAAATGTTATGAGACACAATAATTATAATTCTATTTTAATGAAATAAAATTTGACTATACTATTTTTTATATTTTTAGAGATTTTGTAGCTCTGGTTGTTATTATTTATAGACGAGATAATTAATCATAATTTTAAGTAAATCTAATTCTTTCATTAAATTTTAGGGTGTTACAATAACTTACTTAAGATATATTTGGAATAGTTTTTTAACTGTTTTGCTTTTCAAAATTTCAGACCAGTTTTTGCTGTTATTTTCTCCCATTTTTTCATAAATTTATGTGATAAAAAATTGCTTTCTACAATTATAATAACGATGTTATTTTTTTTTCACAACCTCACAACAAACTTTATAAAATTTTGCAACCATCCCAAATGCCTTTGATAAAGTAATGAAGATGATAAAGTAAGCCAATACTTAATATAAGTTGCATTAACCATCAAAATTACTTAATATAAATAACAATCAAATTGATAATGACTAAAAAAAGAAGAAGAAAAATCATTTGTATTATGAATGAATGACATATTATTATATTAATATGATACTACAAAATAAAAATATATTTAAATGATAAACCCGTTCTTTAAATAAAATCTTTTCAAATAACTTTTAACAAAACAAACCCTAAATTCACTCTAATTACAAATACATTAGTTTAGTCTATTTATATAATAAAATTTAAAATTTCAAGAAAATTAATTACGAGGATTTTTTAAACTTTTGGTAAACAAACCTTATAAATTTCAAAAACAATCCATCCACCACCATCTTTTTTTGACCTGACCTTTTTTCTAAATAAATAAATAAGGAAAGAAAATTAAAGCTATCTGCTTCCGTCAGACATTAACTGGAACGATCTATTTTAAATTATTAATTATTTCGTTCTCACCTTAGCCTTTTTCATTTATAAATTTATGTGTATGATGGAGGATTTGCCGAGCGTTTTGAGAACTTGACCTTTGTTTATCCTCTCGATCGGCAACCTAGGGTTTTCAGCTTCCACGGCCACTTAAAGAGCAGCCGTCAAGAACAGGAAGCTTACGAAACACTTAGATCGCCCTCTTCGCTAACTGATGATTCTCAGTAACAGAGGGTCATTAAAACTCCTCATGTCAGATTCTTTGTAAACGCTCAGATCTATCAGGAAGACTGAAAATCTCTACCATTCTTCTCAATAAACAAACCTTTTCTCTGTGACAAAACCTTTTGTGGAATAAATCTGACCAGATTTCCTTCCCTGTGGATCCGCAAGAGAGTCTCGTTATTTTTCGTTTCTATACCTGAAATAATATTTTTTCTGACTTCTTAGACCGAATCATGACGTAATGGTTTAAACGGATCAACCAAGCACAGATCTGTTGAACCTAGTTAAGGGCTTTTCGTTTTGAACCTCAAAGGAAGATAAAATTTTCCGGATCAAGCTTAAAAATGTTCAGATCTGTCGTGTATCATGGAAACTCTCTTATCGGAGAAGTAGAAATCCAGCCCAAGAACTCAAACCTTGGAACGTGGACGAGGGAGATCCGAATCTCTCACTTCTCCCCTCCCAGCGATCGCTGCCCGCCACTGGCAGTTCTACACACTATTGCCACGTCTGGCGTCTGCTTCAGAATGGAATCGAAGCGATCCGCCGAAGAGTCACTGCTTTTTTCAGTATATTCTGCCTGTCTCAGAGAGAACAAGGTATTTTTCTTAATTAAAGGAAAATGGCTAAAAGATCAATGAAATCAAAGGGGTTTCAAACAATAACATTTAAACCCTAAAATTTATTACTTAAATCATTAGTCAGAATATCAAACGTATGAACAGTGACTAGATCGGCACTTCTTCTCTGAACGAATATGCCCTACTAAACTACAAATATAATGAGCAATTTATACCCTATATTTATTTGAGACGAAAAATTTCACACTTACATAAATGAATATCTGAACTTGCCTTTCCCAAAAAAAAATTTAATTTCCCAGAATAGCTGAACTTGCCATGGTTAAATAAAAGGCATTATCTCCAGATCTTGAATTTTGGAAGACAGTTTGAAATTGAGCTTATCAACAGCCATAAAAGCACATTCTCACTGAATCAGTTTCTTAGTTTGTTAAGTAATGTGGATAAGCTTATTTGTCAGAAACGGCTTGAAGCTTTGTATATTGTCTTTTGGGAAGGAGAAATTCATTATTTATTTTGATTTAATGTGCCAAACATTATAATTGTATGAAGTGGCTATATGTATAATGAAGCTATGCTTAAGATCAATTAGTTCTATGCAATATTATCTATAGGTGCTATTTATATTATTAGCTAATGAGCAATTTTATCTTAATAAGTTTTTAATTTGCATCATACAATCTGCTAATGTACAATATTAATTTAATATATTATTACTGTTGCAACTGGATCAGATGATGTTACGATCAATGATGATGAATTTGAGATTTATACAATATAGATTTGTTCGATTTCTTTTCAAATAATTACACTATAGCCATCTTTGCAACTAGAAGAACAAGTAGCAGTTAATTAGCTATCCACTTCTTGATAATTAATAATGTATTGTTTTGTCTTCTCCGATTTAAGAGATATTCATAACTTCCTAGATACAAGACTTAACTAAAAAGTTGTTTAGAAAATTTCTAAGTGCAAGAGGATCTTAAACTGTTGCAGGTTGAATTAATAATAAGCTTGCTGGTTTCCTATCTGCTTAACAGAAGAAAATCATAATTAAAGACATGTAAACCTTTTCATGATCGATAGTTTTCACATCCTGGGTGTTCATTAGAAGTTTGTGAATCACTAACTTATGGTACTTGTTACATGTAAATTATGATTTTTGTATCTTGCATGTTTAATAATACCCATTGAGATCATTCTAATCATTATGGCATATTGTTATTATGAGATGGGAGGTTGGGAATTTCCTATTTATCAATTAGTTTATTTTACAAAGAAAGAAGTTGGGTATTTTGAAAATTAACATGAATTTTGGAGTTTGAAGTAGGCACTTTCCTGAAATCTGTAGCTTGAGTGGTAGAATGAGCACATATGTTATTTAGACATCAATTAGTTTCTTGGTGAATATGCATTTAATCTGACCAATGAACTTCAATGAGGGCATAGGTGAGTAGTTGTCCTGTTGCAAGAAACTTTTCCAGTTAAATCTTTCGTACATAAACTAGCAGCCTTGATCTTTTTATAGTTTGTTTCCTCAGTTGTTGATTTCCTAGCCAGACTTATCTTTTACTTTGGCAGATAAATTTAATCTGATGCCTTTTATATATGTGATGAGAATCTCTTTTATTCTTGCTACAGTATATATGTATCATGCAATTAAAAAAGAGGTTTCTCTGTGATGAGTTCGGCGGGGTAACAGTTCCTTATATGCAAAACATATAAGTCATAGATATTCATTTTTTCACCTGCTGTATTGGTTGGTTGAATCTATTACCCATTATTTTGTACATAATCATTCTACAAGCTATGTATTGCTTTCTTTAAATTGGCAATTTAAGGGCATGGTATTTAAAATACATATTTTTTAGAAATGCAAAGTAACTAAATGTGATTTATTTTGATTTTCAAGAGTTATTTGGTTGGAAATACTTAGAAACTAATTTATTATGATATCTAAGAGGCGGGAGTTTGAATATGATTGGGGATAGAGGCTAATGGGAATTGGGTCGTTTATGGGGTTGGAGAAGGTGTTGCATGGGAGAGGGGTCAGGATTAGGAGCAAAGGGGTTGATGACTGTTGGAGCAAGTTTGGGGTTGCGAGTGAACATGTATGCTGATAGGGATGGGGATGATGGCACACGGGAGAGGGGGTTGTGAGCGACGGGACATACTTTGCAAGGATGCATTTGGAATATGGTTGTTTTGAAAAAAAATAAAATGTAACGCACCGTAAGTGTGGCTTTTGAGGATTTGAAATTCCCCCAAAAAATACTTTGCTTCTGCTTTATTTCATGCTAAACACGTAAAAAATAAAACCCATATATTCCTTTTATTTTATACCCCATAGCTTACAATCACACAACCCCTTTGTAAATTTTTGTACATTCCATATGTTTGATAGCCTCATATTTAAGGAGATAAATCCCCATTCAATTGTGAATGAATCAGTATGTTCTTTTTTTATGCTTTGGTGCATCCTCTGCTAAACCTCCTTGAACCGTTGTAAGAAGGGAAGAGTTAATTTATGCTTTAAGAAGCTAATTTTTTAAAAGTTGGTACTATTTGGTTGGTTTTCCCTATGGTTTAACAAAAAAAATAAACAAATTGTTTGCTTATAAAATTGTCATTCTTTGTAGGCCGTTTGATTTGGTAAGATAATGGATTTGTTTTGTTTCCTTTTTTATCCACATTCATTTTACCTTCTAAGTGAATACACTGTTGGAGTGTACCATCTATGTGTTAGCAATCAAGCTGAAATGGCCATTCTCACATTTAAATGAACACATGTATTTTTTTAGTATAACGATATTTGCTCTTATGAGTGACTTTCATCTCTGCAGACAGCAGTTGCTTCAATAGGAGAGGAAGAACTCCATCTAGTTGCCATGCCTTCTAGGAGGAATCTTCCACAAAATTCATTTTTTTGGGGATATATTGTTGCACGTGGATTGTATAATTCCTGCCTTGTCATGCTTAATCTAAGATGCCTGGGAATTGTGTTTGATCTCGATGAAACTCTTATAGTTGCTAATACAATGCGCTCATTTGAGGATAGGATTGATGCCTTACAGCGAAAGATCAGCAGTGAGGTAGATCCACAGCGTGTTCATGGCATGCTTGCTGAGATCAAGCGGTATCAGGATGATAAATCAATCTTGAAGCAGTATGTTGACAATGATCAAGTTGTAGAAAATGGGAAGGTGTTGAAAGCTCAATCTGAGGCTGTTCCCCGTCTGTCTGATAGTTATCAACTTTTAAATCGCCCTATTATAAGACTACATGAAAAAAACATCATACTTACTCGGGTCAATCCAACGGTACGCTTTTTTTTCTTGTCCAAGTGTTTGTAAGGTTCTTTTTATGTCTTTCTATATTTTTGATGCATGCCATATTGTTGTAAATTAGTTGCTGTAGTCATTCTTTTTGGTCTTTATTAGTCAGATGACCTGCAATCATCTGGTTGAAGAACTACGCACTTTTACCAAAGGATGCTTATGAGATTAATTCACTGTCATTATCTTAAATATTGTGATTGTTATGTGGTCTATGCTCTCAAATGAATTTTTTTATAGTAATATTGGTGATAGACTGCTATTTATGTGACAAAATTTCTTCTGATTTGGTTCCATATTTGCACTACATTTACGTTTCTTGTTGTCGATTTTTTTCTAAGTTAGACATTGAGATAGATATTGAAGCGATGATATATTGGTTATCCTACAGTTTATTTTCTTGTACTAGACCTTGCAAATTGCATAGCCATGTGCATTCCTCATTAGCATAAATGGATGGGTGCATATGTTGTCTATGCATAAATTTTACTTAGATATGAATCTAAATTTGCATTCATCCGTGAAAAGGTTGGAGTAGCTCTAGTGACAAATAAGATTAGTGAGAGTCAACTTAGATGGTTTTGGTCATGTAAAACGGCGGCCTTTCAATGTCCCTATTAGGAGAGGTAGATGTATTAGATTTGTCCTATATTAAGAAAGGTAGAGGTAGACCTAAAAAGATTTGGTTAGTAAATATTCTAAATGATCTCTATTATATTTAATTGAGAATTTGACTCTTAAACAGGACACAATGGAGAAAAAAAAATTCATGTAGCCGACCCCACGTAGTGGGATAAATGCTTGATGTTGTTGTTGTTGTAGTGCTCTCTCTCTCTCCCTACCTCTTGATATAGATCGTTATGTATGTATCCATATCCTAGGTTTTCATGACACCATATCATGTTTATGTATCACATCTATTGCATATCATGTTTATGATACATAGGTAGCTTTTAATGTAACTCGCTCGTTTTTATAAGTATTCAAAAACTCCCTTATTTTATGGCATTAAGGCTTAATTGTTTTATGGTTTGATAGTTTACTAGGGACAAGCTAGTAATGTCATCTCAATTGCATGCGACATTTGTTTTATGATCGTTATATATTTATTCTTATGTGAGTGTTTTAGGAAAATGTCTTTTCTTTCTTAGGTGATGGGAAGAATGTTAAATCATTGGAAATTTTCTTAACATTTTCCACTATAACTTATAAATATGGCTCGCATTATGCCTTAGAGGTTTTCTACTTGTAATGACAAAGAAATACTTGCTATGGAAAATAAATTCTTTCTATGCTTCTTTTTGGCCCTTTTTTTATTCTTCTTTATCTTGTTAGTTTCTTCATCCAATTTGTATGGTTTCCTATTTTACTTTTCTTTTTTTTTAATCCTTTTTTTGCCTTTATATTTTCAAACTTGCTTACTGTGTATTGTGTCAGTTTTTCCCACCTTCTTCAATTCCGAATGATTGTTTTTAATTGTCCATGTTTTTCATGTCTTTCTTTTTAACTTGATTGATTGTGCTGAGTTTGTAATTTATAACTTGTACCCTTATGTTGTTATCATGCCATATATCATATGACTATAAACATCTAATATGTTCATCCTTAATTAAGAGTTCTCTCTTACGTGTTAAGAATGTTAATTAATTATGAGTGCTTGTGCTCATGGAAAGTAAGGACACAGATCTAACTAAACCCTGACACTACCCTCAGGAAAAATCTGATTAACTAAAATCTGACCCAAGGAAGATGGAATCCTATGTCTGCAAAGCAGGATTCATGCCGATGTGCCATTTTTTTTGAGTCAACAAGTATCCTCTGTGTGGATTTTTGATGATAAAACTTCTTTTCGTTTTGGTTCAAATTATATGATTAAAGTATGTTAATCTTAAAGGTTTGTTTACAAAATATGTGCAGCTTGTGTTATGCATTGAGTATCATCTCCATTCTACTTTTCAGTCAATAGAAGTTCAATAGAAGTTCACATATAAGCTTACCTTGCACTTCTACTTTTATAGATAAGAGATACTAGTGTCCTTGTACGTTTAAGGCCTGCATGGGAAGATCTTCGAAGCTACTTAACTGCAAAAGGTCGAAAGAGGTTTGAGGTTTATGTTTGCACAATGGCGGAAAGAGATTATGCTTTAGAAATGTGGAGGCTTCTTGATCCAGAATCTAGCTTAATCAACTCGAAAGAGCTCTTGGATCGAATAGTTTGTGTCAAGTCTGGTATGCTTGATATTTTGTGCTGTGTTTTTTTTTTTTGCTACAAACTAATTTCCATTGATATGACATACCCTTTTTAGTTGGATTTGGTAACTATCATTTCTTGTTGTTGGTAGGCTTGAGAAAATCTTTGTTCAGTGTATTCCAAGATGGAGTCTGTCATCCAAAGATGTCATTAGTTATTGACGATAGGTTGAAAGTCTGGGATGAGAAAGATCAATCTCGAGTTCATGTTGTCCCTCCGTTTGCTCCATATTTTGCTCCTCAAGCAGAAGTAAGTTAGATCTTTAAACATTTACATTATTATATTATATGAGAATTCAACTTCTTTCTTTGATTCATATATTACGTGGGACTTTGGTATGTTCCTCTAATCTCAACTGACTCTATAACCTTAGGCAAACAACAATATCCCGGTTCTTTGTGTTGCAAGAAATGTGGCATGTAATGTTAGAGGCAGTTTTTTCAAGTAAGCATATTTATATTCTTGTATAATCAGAGCTTTGGTTGATCTGTGATATGATTGCATTGAAACTATGGAATCGTGCAAGTTCTAAAAACATTGCTAGCTACCATGTAATTTAAGTTTTGCCTAATAATTATGCATTTGGTGTCAGAGATTTTGATGAAATTTTGCTTCCACGAATGTCTGAAGTTTCTTATGAAGACGAAATGGAATACCCATCTGCTCCTGATGTGGGAAATTATTTAATTTCAGAGGTACCGGGTTTTGTAGATATGTGGTCCTATCCTTATATTTGGTATTTTCTCCCTTTTCAATTATTTTTACACTATATTGTCCCTATACAATTTCGATACAGGATGACGCCTCTACATTGAATGGAAACAAAAATCCACTTGGTTTTGATGGAATGGCAGATGCTGAGGTCGAGAGGAGATTGAAGGTCATTGTTATATCAATAATTTTATTATTGAACATTTTGGTACACTGGAATTTAAGGAAGAGTACAGGAACATATTCATATGTCAATGCTAAATAACATACATATTCCGACTGTTTGAAGTCCTAAATATCTGTAGACTTATTTTCCAATGTTCCTTTGTCGTACAGGGTGCAAACTGTATTGTCCAAACTGTTGCTCCCATTGCTAACAACTTTGATACGAGGGGAATTGTGCCTCCTGCCCCCCCTGTCATAGCTCCTACAACTCCAGCAGTTTCATTGGCAGCAACCCAATTGATCATGCCGCTGGCCAACAGCCAGTTTCCACATAATGTTGTGCCTGTTAAGCCATTAGGGCAATCTGTTCTGTCAGAACATTCCCTACAGGGCTCTTCTTGGGAAGAGGGTGAGGTCCCAGAATCAGATCTAGACCCAAACACAAGAAGAAGACTTTTGATTTTGCAGCATGGACAAGACACACGTGATGCTCCTCCGTCGCATCCACCATTTCCAACTAGGCCTCCTCTTCAGGTCTCAGGGCCCCCAGCTCAACCTCGAGGAAATTGGTTTCCAATGGAAGAAGGTTTGAGCTCAAGGAAAATAAATATGGCATCAAGAGATTTTCCTTCAGAACATGAAGCAGTTCCTTTTGACAAGAATCGATCTCGATATCGGTCACTCTACCGAACGGGCGAAAAATCGATGTCTTCGGATAGAGTTTTCCATGAAAGTCAAAGATTGCCTATGCAGGTACTTGCTTTTGCTTAACATGGCAAAGACTTGCTCTTTTAATTATGCTAATTTCTTACCATTTTCATTAACTTTGAAGATTTCCTAGCATCTTAAAGTTTCTACCCAGATAATTTCATGATTCAGGTACATCATGGTGAAGTTCGGCCTCAACCCGACAAAGCAGCATCAAATTTCAGTTCTCTCCATGGTATTTTACTTTTAACTTGTGCAAATGTCAGAGAGGATTTGAACTTCTTTATTGTTTTTCTCGACTACATGTCCAAGTTTATCTTGAGTATAGCGTGGCTGTCAGTCTTAACATTTAAGCCAATTAGTATCAAAGTGAAGTGTTGACAAAAATAAAAGGGCAAGGAAAATGGGCAAGACACGAATAGAAAATTCTCTGTTTAGGTTAAATATTTTTTTCCTGTTACTGCTGTAGTAGTTATCCTTTTGAATAGTTTGTTAGATGGTTTCAATAGCAGACTTTTGGTTGAATTTCTCTTTTAGCAATGCTTATTTAGGTTTGTGGTCGTAGAAGCTTCATTTGTTCATGAGAAAGAAATTGGAAATATGTAAACTAATGAAGAGAAGGCAGTGATGACATAAGAAATTAGATAGAAGGTTTGGATAGTGTGCAACTCCTAATTAATTGATTAATAATCATTGTTTTTTTCTCTTGTGAGCCATGATGTATACTTTTCAATGAAGATTGTGAGAATACGATTGATTTTAGCGATCTTAGCTCCCTAAATGAAAATAAAGATATATTTTTTATCGTTGTATTAGTAAAACCAAAGTTAGAGAGGTTTTAAAGAAAATAAAGTGTGGAAAAGCTGTTGGATTTGATGATATTTCAATATAGTCGAAATGCTTAGGAAATGAAGGAATTTCTTGGCTTACTAAACTTTTAAATATTATTTTGAAGTTTAAAAGGATGCTAGATGAGTGGAGAATGAATGCGTTGATACGTATTTTTAAGAATAAAGGTGATGTACAAGATTGTGCGAATTATAGAGGTATTAAGTTAATGTGTCATCCTTTAAAATTATGGAAGAGAGTTATGGAGCATAGGTTGCGGCGTGATACTAATCGTTCTCAAAATCAATTTGGATTATGTTGGGTAGGTCTACTATGGAAGCTATACATTTATTGGGAGGTTTGATGGAGAAGTATAGAGAGAATAAGGAGGATCTACATAACATATTTATTGATTTAGAGAAAGCACATGATAAAGTTCCAAAAGAAGTGCTTTGGAGAATTCTAGAAAAGAGAAAGGTTAATAATGCTTATATGCAAGTCATTAAGGAGATGGATGCAGTAGCTGTTGCTTGTGTTCAAATAGAAAGTGGTTTGACCAAGTATTTTCTTATCTTTTTGCTTTAGTCATGGATGTTCTCACTAGACATTTGCAAGAGGTTGTACCCTGATTTATGTTTTTTGCTAATGATATTCTTTTTGTTGATAAGGCTAGAGAGGGAGTTGAAGATATACTTGAATTATGTAGGTCAACCTTAGAGTTTAAAAGTTTTAATTTGAGTAGATCTAAAATTGAATATATAGAGTGTAAATTTAGTAGTAATAGATCTAGTGGGGGATTGTGACTTTGAGCGATCAAGTCATTAATAAGTGTACACATTTTTAGATATCTTGGGTCTATTCTTCAGAGTGATGGTGAAATAGATGGGGATATTATTAGTAGAATTCAAGTTGGATGGTTGAAGTGGAGGAATGCATCGCTTGTTTTGTGATAGAAAAGTCTCCCTCAAACTTGACCTCAAACTTGAGGGAAAGTTCTATAAGATGATGGTGAAACCTTCAATGCTTTATGGTGAAGAATGTTTGCCATTAAAAGAGAAGCATAATATTGAGTTAAGTGTTGTAGAGATGAGGATGCTCAGGTGGATGAGTGACCTTATTTTTAGAGACATGATACAAAATGAGCATATACGTGAAAGGTTGGAGTAGCTCTTGTGGAAAATAAGATTAGATAGAGTCCCCTTAGATGGCTTGGTCACATAAAACGACAGCCTTCCGATGAACCGGTTAGGAAAGTAGATGCATTAGATTTGACTTATGTTAAGAAAGGTAGAAATAGACCTAAAAAGACTTGGTTAGAAAATATTAGAAATAACTTTTCTTTATTAGGTTTAAATGAAAATTTGACTCTTGAAGAGGACACAATGGAGAAGAAGGATTCATGTAGTCGACCCTACCTAGTGGGATAAAGGCTTGATGTTATGGTTGTTGTTGTGTGGGGAGCCGTGATAGTTTTTTTTTTTATTGTTGTGTGTCAGAATCCTTTCTACAAAATGAGAGGGTGGAGCAATATCACAATTTTATTAGATTTTTAATACTCAAGTACATAAATAACAATAACCAACTATAATTTTCTTGTGTAAAATACAGAAAAAAAGAGATAGAGTTAGCCCAAAGGATGAACTTTCTTTATGAAGAATTTGTAATTACATATCTCACAGCTATGTATGGTCAGGACATCAGTATTGATTGGGCAGTAATCTATAAGTTATAATGCTCTGATGTAAAGTTGTTTGCAATAATAATGGATTTCATAGTTTGATCAACTAGTCTTTATGGGATATCAACATGATGTCGACAGGGGAGGTTGGTGGGACATTAAATAAAGGACGGCAACTAGATATTTTCTAGGACGGTTGGTTTGTTGTCCATGTGGGATACGGAGTGGAATTAGACATCGTTCAGCAAGGGAAACCTTCATGGAATTAGCAAGACATACCATTTATGCACCAATGAAGGAGGCTCTTTGGTCATTGGTCAAGGAGGCTGACCCATTGTTCATGGATGAGGCTAGGTACACTAGAGTAGGATTTTCACTAAGGCAAATGTCACTAACTCCAACATTGATCTCCGAGGGATATTGTTGAGGGGAAATGATCCCTACCATGTTGGAGTCATTATGTTTGATGGAGTTATTAATTTGAGATTTATTAGGGAACAATTCTCCTTGGGCAGTCATAAGGGTGATATCAAATCTAAATTTGAAGATTTCGATTTTGACATGAATTAAGTCTTAAGTTAGGTCTCAATTTTTGAATTGATTCAAGCCAAGTCTAATAATTTTATAAAACATTATTCTAATTTATAATCAAAATTTTTTTTATAGATGTGTATTCAAAATATTTATATAAAATTATCAATGAATTGTGTATGTATGAAAGATGGTTGTATCTGCATATTATATAGAACAAAGTTTAACATTATGCAGTTGTGTATTGAGACATGTTTTATTCATGGGGTGAGACATAAGTCGAATAATTATAAAACTACACAAAGTAATAAATATTGTGCACACATCAAAATACGAAGTAAGAAGTAATGTATTAACATCCGAACCTATCAACATATTAAAAGTAACACATTAACATTTATTCATAATGAGAAGGAACGAATTGTGCAAAGTATCAAGTAACAAGTTTTGGAAAGCAGAAGTGTTATGTATATATCAAAGTAAGAACTAATAATGTAACAATTCAAAATAAGATTAAGACAATAAGTTTCTCTATCTTACTCCTATAATCCAACATACAAATTAGAGCATGACAAATAATTAGCCACTGAGGTTAGAATTTTTATCACCAAAAGTGCTCAACACTCTCTTTACTGGGGGTTCTTCATTTGAGTCATAGTAATAATTAATAGCTTTCTCCCCCGCATCATTCTTATTTGTGTTGATTTTCTCCCAATTTTTCTTCTGTTCTTCAGTTTAAATTATTTTTGTCATCCTTAATCAATAATAATCAATAAAAATTTAAAAATATTAATTAAAGTTTGAAATATTAACTATGTTGATTATTATAACTTCAAATAGCTAATTTCTTTTGCATATTTCCTTTATTTTTATTTCTTGATGGATTGTGTTAGACATTAATCTTACTTCTGCTGCCCTCATCAAAGAAATCAACATTAAGATCTCTTTATTGTAAATCAAATGTTGTGACTTTATTATCATCATTCATAAATTATTCATCAAGTAGGTTTGGAGATAGAATTTTAGCGTTAAAGATTGTTGTTGATGAATCAAATGTTGTGACTTTATTATCATCATTCATAAATTATTCATCATCTAATGACACATCATAATAAAATAAGAGATTTTTGTCATCCCTTCAAATCATTTTCTTCAAATTTTCACCCTTTAATTTTTTTTTTTTGTACATTATGTAAACCAATGAGTTCATCCTTAAGATAGTCAAATTATTTCTCTTTTTGGTATGAACTTGATTGTATGTACTTTGGCTTTGGAGTGCCATCACCAATCTGGGTCTATCATTGGATTAAATTTGAAAAAAAAATCTAAAATTGGGAGAATCTTTCATTATTTCCACCAATAATTAAAATTTACTTGGAGAATATTTTGCTACTGTATCTTTTGCTTGCTGCAGTTAAAAAAAATCTTTCTTTATTTCTAAATGATGTAAGTTGCATATCCGCCATTGACCTCTCTGTTAGTCAGCCATTGACCTATTCATTTATTGGTATAAGCCTAATTAGATCTAAAGGTTGGTCGACTTGTGCACAAAATATTGGAATTGGAGATTAGGATAATATCATGTATCATGCAAATGACGACAGCTGAAACTTTCACTTCTGATAATTGATTTATCAAATCTCCTTCTAGCTAAACTCATCCCTACCTAATTTAAGTGCTATCAACCTCTTAACCTTGTTCATTGTATTGTAAATTAAGCCAGTAATAGGCTTTTCTCTGCATCAGCCACTTCATTAAAACTGAACCAATGGCTTTGCTATTGTTATTGTATAATTAACATTTAGCCAAAACCTTTCATTTAGAACAATCTTCCTAACTTCTTCTTTAGCTTTCTTTTCCAATGCATAGCTAAGTCATTTTTTTGGAAGTGAGCATAACTTGCCGTGCTTCTAACATACTTTGTAGAATCTATTAGGCTATAGCAAATTTTTAGCAAGTCAGTCACGAGAGTTCTTTTTTTGGATAATTTTCTCATTTAAGCCATGACTCACAAATGATTGTGTAGATGAATTTCCTTATCTTCTTTGTTTTGTAAAATATTTTCTTGTGCCGGACAAATCACCAAGTTTCTCTAAACTCAAATCTATGTATGTGCCGCACAGGGTGTGTAATACATATGGTTTCTCTTCTCCAACAACTTATTTCTGGGTTTTTTATAAGCACTAGCATTATTTGTA